TTGCTCTCATGAGCCTACAGTGGAGGGATGGCTGCCTGGCCACTGCCCCTCACCCAGTCCCCAGCCCACAACAGTTCCTGGCACAGTGGCAGGGTGGATGGAGCCCACCCACGCCCACCCTCGAGGCAGTTGCAGCCAAGGGCTCTGGAGTAGACTGGCTGGTTTTAAACTGCTATACAGCAGGTGCTTTCATCACACTGACCCCAGGTTCCTCATCTGCACAAGGAGGGCAGTCCCGGGAGGGGCTACTTCACAGGGCTATGGGCAGCACAGAACATGTACCCATGGCAGACATGGCATGCACTCCACGGACCTAGCACTAATCCTCATTGTCCTTCCCCCTTCTATTCATCCACCTAGGGCCCTGCCGGCTCCCACCAGCCCCTGGGGGCCCTGGTCTGCTCTATATGCCCCTGACCTGGCCCAAAATGAGTCTCCCCTGTGCCGCCCACCCTGCCAGGTCTGCCGTGGTGCCCAGAGCTGGTGGAGGTGGTGGTCACGACCATGCAGCTGCATGACAGGGTCCTTGACATCCAGCTGTGTGCCTGCTCCCTGCTGCTGCACCTCCTGGGCCAAGGTGGGTGCCAAACCAGGCCAGGTGGGGGAGACACTCTTGGTGGCCTAGCTCCGTCCCCACCTGTTACCTGGTTGGCATCTGACCCTCTGGACAGTCCATACCATCCTGTGCCCATTGGACCCCATCCTGGATGGCAGAGGGCATAGGCCAGGAGCCTAGAGATGTGGATCCCACCCACGCCTGGTGGTGGGTGGATCACGACATCAGGAGTTCAAGACCAGCCTGATTGACATGGCGAAACACGTCTCGCCTACTCTGTGGCCCTGGACAAGTTCCTGCTGCTCCCGCCAGTTTCCCAGCTATGAAGCAAGGAGCTGGACACGAGGTCCTCTGGAGTGGCCCTCAGGGAGGATGGGTTGCATCCTCTGAAGGGGGCTGGTAGGACAGTGCTGAGTTGATTTCACTGCCCTGATGGAAGAGGCTGGAGCTGACAGTCTGAGCCTCCTATGAGACCTGGGTTGTTAAAAAAAGTTGAATTAGCTTTCATGATTTTTTTTTAAACAAAAAGTATTTAGTTACCTTTCTAGTTTTTTTTTTTTGTTTTTTTTTTTTGAGATGGAGTTTTGCTCGTCACCCAGGCCGGAGTGCAGTGGCACGATCTCGGTTCACTGCAACCTCCACCTCCTGGGTTCAAGCGATTTTCCTGCCTCAGCCTCCTGAGTGGCTGGGACTACAGGCACCCACCACAACACCTGGCTAATTTTTGTATTTTTAGTAGAGACATGTTTCGCCATGTCAATCAGGCTGGTCTTGAACTCCTGATGTCGTGATCCACCCACCTCAGCCTCCCAAAGTGCTGGGATTACAGGCATGAGCCACCATGCCCGCCCACCTTTCCAGTTTCACTGTTGAAGTTTGGAGTTCCATACAACGTTGAAATTGTGTTCACTGCTGCCTGGCCAGCTCCCACAGACCAGGATGGGTGGCCTGGCCAGGCAGCGCTCCCCTCCAGCCCTTCACTCCATTAGGGCACACGGATTCACGGAGGCCTGTTCTAGGCCAGGAGAACAAGGCAGACCTTGCTTTCCTTCATGCAAAGTAGAGATGCTATCCCCCAGCCTGTGAGCCTCGTGTGTCTCCTCCCACGCCCCAGCTGTGGGGCTAACCCCAGGCGTCTTCCTCTGGCCCGAGCAGCGATGGTGCACCACCCAGAAGCCAAGGCTCTCTGTAACCAAGCCATCACCTCCGCCGTGCTGAGTGCTCTTTGGAGCTACCCCGAGGAGGAGTCACTCCTTGTCTTGGTCTACAGCCTGCTCGCCATCACCACAACCCAGGGTGTGTCTGCCAGCCACCTCGTGCCCCACCCACACCCAGGACAGCCCTTCCCAGGGGTCTCGGGAAGGGTTGGTTTGGGGTACAGGTGGGTTGGACAGGACAGTGCTGGGCCTCCTCCTGAGATGCACAGTGGCATTTGGCCATCTTCATTCGGTCACCCCAAATGCTGGTCACATCCTTTTCCATCTTGATGACAAGCTTCCACTCTTGAAGTCACTGGTTCCCTCTACGGACATGCCAGGCGCAGCTGTGGGCTTCACGCCAATGACATCTATTTGCCACACTTCCTGCCCCTTCTGGGAGGCTGGAGGGCAAATGCCCTGTCTCCATTCCATAGGGCCCAGTAGGCTTCCGAAGCCACCAGCCAGGACTGTGGGAAGGAGAGGGCCACACAGAGCGTTCACAGCCTCACCCACAAATCGGGTGGGCACTGTTCTCCCCAACAGGAAGCCGGGCCTTGAGAGGGCCTAAGGACAGCCGCCAGGAATCCCAAGCAGCGGGGGTCAGGGCTGGGTCCCAGCACCCTCTTTACTGCATAGACTGGATAGCTGATCATACACAATTGATCTCACTTTTGGGAGTGAAAGGAGGCACTAGGAATAGATGTCAAATGGAACCATTAGGCAAAATGGATGTCAGTTCATCCTACCAGGATAGGGCCCCGTCACGGTTCCATCCTGGAAGGCACAGTCCGGCTCTGTGGGCCCAGGAGGCAGGGCCAGGCCCCCTGGATGGGAAGCTACAGAGGTCAGACCCAGCCTGGCAGTAGGATGGCAGCTATTGGGACTGGTAGCCCATGAGATGGACAGACTCCTCTGGGGCCAGTCCCATGTCCTCCTGTTCAGGGCTCCGTTGAGTGCACATGACTTGGCCCAGAGCAGGCACCCCCCAGATCGCAGGTCAAATGGGACTGCAGTGCCCAAGGACAACAAAGGCAGGAAGGCTTCCTGGAGGGAGGGGCCCTGGGGCCCTCATTCTGGCCCACCCACAGAGTCACAGTCAGAGTCAGAGTCAGTGTCAGAGGAGCTGCAGAACGCCGGGCTGCTGGAGCACATCCTGGAGCATCTCAACAGCTCCCTCGAAAGCAGGGACGTCTGCGTCAGTGGCCTGGGCCTGCTCTGGGCCCTCCTGCTGGATGGTGAGGGGCCCTCCTCCTGCTGTCCCACTGGGGCTGGGAGCCCTCCCCCAGTCGCTCCCCAACTACCCCTGAGAGCCTCTGAGGACCTCCATGTCCTGTCCCCGAAGCACAACAGCCATGGTCTGGGAAAGGCTCTTCTGAGAGCCTGCAACAGAAGAAAATCAAGGAGCAGAGAGAGAAGGTGGGGGAGGAAAGGCCTTCTGGCAGAGGCCAGGCTTCAGGACTTCTTGCCCAATGGGCAGACCCCTCAGTTTTAAGTGCCTCCTGCCCAGGGAAATGTCCTGGAATTTTCCAGGCAGTCCTGGTTCCAGGGGACAGCGGTAGTGCTAGATGCCGTTTTGATTTTTGATTCACAGTAGGGGGGTCCTCCGGCCTGTGCTGCTTCCCCTCCTCTAGACCCCATCTTGGCACTCCAGTGCCCCAGGAAAAAGAGGGCTCCAAACCATGGAAAGCCCAGGAAACCCAACAACCCTGCCAGCACCCAAAGTGTGGGATTCTCCAAGCCTCTCCTGGGCTAATCCCCGCAACTGTCTGAGGACAGCTGACCTCTCCCACCCCCTTTCTGTTCTTGTCCTTAGTTGGAGGAAGGCAGCAGATTGGGGGTGGAAGGCCCCCCTGCACACAACCAAGGCCTGGGTGTCCCCTTCCATCCCTGTCCTGGTTCCAGGTATCATTGTGAACAAGGCCCCTTTGGAGAAGGTCCCGGACCTCATCAGCCAGGTGTTGGCCACCTACCCTGCGGATGGGGAAATGGCGGAAGCCAGCTGCGGAGTCTTCTGGCTGCTGTCCCTACTGGGTGAGCTGGGTGGGCACCCTGGGCCCCTGGGGCTGGGAGCCGTGGGCCTCGCGCACACAGCAGGTACAAGGCAGCCTGGCCCCTTTCCGCAGGCTGCATCAAGGAGCAGCAGTTTGAACAAGTGGTGGCGCTGCTCCTGCAAAGCATCCGGCTGTGCCAGAACAGAGTCCTGCTGGTGAACAATGCCTACCGGGGACTGGCCAGCCTGGTGGAAGTGTCAGGTGAGCCTGGGGACAGGACGAGGCTGCCACCTACAGGTGGGGACAAGAATCAGCCTCCATCAGTTATATCTGCCAGGTGCCACAAACCAAAAAACAGAAGCAACAAATCAAAAAGGAAAATAAATTAAAAACGATGTAAAGTCCAATCATCCAGAAATCACCATCAAGACTTCTATGCACACTTGATGAATTCTACCTCTGCATTATGCTACCCTGTGACCCTCTCTCTGTCCATAAACACGTCACATCTGCACGTTTCCCAACATGCAGGCACACCGTGACTGATCAAAACGGCTCTGGAGTCGGCGTCTCCAATTCCCCACAACACAAACCCTGCCTGTTACTCAGCAAGACAGGCTGGGCCCGGTGCTGAGCACAGCACAACCGAGGCTCGACCCACAGCACAGTCCTTCGGAGAGCACCTGGGGCCCGGCCCAGACCCCAGCTGGTGCCTAGCGACTGGGCTCATGGTCTCGACCTCTGTACTACCCAACCTTCCTCAGAGAGTGACGACGACTCCTTTGGCTCTTGGGGGGCTGCCTCCTCTGTTCTTGTGTGACCCTATTCAGGTCATGCCATCCTGCTGGTCCGCCCAAGCTGATGGGGCCTCCTGGGTCTCTTGTCCTATCCCAGCCCCCTGTGTGTGAGCTCTGGGGTACCATCCCATCCTGGGCAGAAGGCTCTTCCCTTTCAGGGGAACAGCGGGGCATGAACTCACTCTCACCCATCCCCCAGAGCTGGCAGCCTTCAAGGTGGTGGTGCAGGAGGAGGGCGGCAGTGGCCTCAGCCTCGTCAAGGAGACCTACCAGCTCCACAAGGATGACCCAGAGGTGGTAGAGAACGTGGGCATGCTGCTGGTCCACTTGGCTTCCTACGGTGAGAACCCCTTCTCGCATCACACGCCCTAGAGCCCAGTGGTCAGGGGTGCCCGCTCCCCCTGTAACTGACAGGGAAGGAGTGCACAGAAGATGGGCTCAACCCCACTTCTCAGCCCTCTGAAACTTCCCACACATTTGGCATCTCCTAAACACTAGGGGTTGTCCTGGCTGAGGGGGACGCATGGGGCTCCAGAACTGCAAGGTGGCTCTGTGCATGCCAAGCCCAAGGGGGACTGTGACCCACCCTCGTCCTTCTGGGGCTCCTGGCAAGGGGCACAGGAGGGGCTCTGGCCTCAGGACCTCCTTGCTCCACCCGCAGAGGAGATCCTGCCGGAGCTGGTGTCCAGCAGTATGAAGGCCCTGGTCCAGGAGATCAAGGAGCGCTTCACCTCCAGCCTGGTGAGTGACAGCAGCGCCTTCAGCAAACCAGGCCTCCCTCCAGGTGGAAGCCCCCAGCCGGGGTGCACTGCGTCCGGGGGCCTGGAACAGATGATTGCATGGAACTGACCTTGATCTCCACATGTATGGTTTTCAAGACTGCTCTCCCGCCTGCCCATTATCCTGTCTCTATGACTGGGCCAAAATCAATCTTCAACAGGAGGGGTCATCAGACCTCTCCAGAGTTTCCTATCCATGACTACTGGATTGAGTCACATGAGTAACTGCTCCTGGACCCGGGAACTGTCCATGAAAACTGACCCGCCTGCTTCCTCCTTCCAGGAGCTGGTTTCTTATGCAGAAAAAGTGCTCCTGAGGCTGGAGGCGGCCACTTCTCCCAGCCCCCCGGGCAGAGAAGCAGCTCAGCCCTGATGCTGGGGAGAAGACAGACACCCCACAGGTTCCTCCTCCACGTGTGCCCTCTCCCTGCCCTTCCTTTCCATGGGTCACTGTTTCCCTTGGGGCGGGGGGGAAGGGTCGTCTGGGACCAGAAGGTACACCTCACACTCCTCTTAGGTGACTAATAAAGAGGCCCAAGGCCAGTTTCTGCCTTAATCGTTTCTGGCAAGACGCCGTGACTGGCCAGTGGGGTAGTTAATGCTGCAGCCTCTATAGACCTCGCCCTGGACACGGAAGTCCTTCCAGACTATCGTAGATGAGAGTCAACACTGAGCCTCCACAGGTTCCATTCAAAGTAAACATCTGCATTTATTTTAAATCACGTCCTCGGTGCGTCTGCACCTTTTCTGTCCAACTGTCAGGTGGCCCAATAACGCCTTGGACTCCATCCCCTGGTCAGTGCCACTGGCTGTTCCTGACTCTAGTTCCCAGGGGAGTCTCAAACCGCGGCCTAGCCAAGCAAGCCACTGGCTAGCATCACATAGCTCCTCTAGCTCAAACAGCCCAAGGTCGGCAACGTCTGCCGACATCCAGGAATAGCCGCGGTCACCATGCCCAGGCGACACATCCTCGCGCTACGGGGAGGAGCCTCTGCTGGGTGACCCACCAGCCAACCCTGGGCCAATTTAGATAAACGCTCAAAGTCCAAACGGCCACAGGAAGCTCCTGATGTAACACCCGTTGTGCTGGCCAGCCGTGTCTCAGGAGCTGACTGCAGACCCCGGGTCTGGGCCCCTCAAGCCCAGCGGAGCTTGTTACGTCCCCTGAGACAAAGGAGGAAAATGGGGCCCCCCAAGAGGAAGGTGCTGAGCACTTCACCCCAGGGTGAGTGGTCACTGAAGACGGGCGGTGACAGCACTGTACGAGCTGGCGGCCCACAGGCCTCATCCTCGCCTCGCCCAGGCAGTCAGCAGTTCGTAAAGCATGGCCAGGCATGCTCATAGCAGCCCCTGCTCCCCACCCCGACCATCCGGGTCCAAATACACATGGACAGTAAGACCAGGCCTCAGACCACAAAGTCAAGAGGAAGGGGGACGTTCTCAGTAGCACCACGCCATGCCCCTCTGCCGTGATTCTGGAAAGGTTTCACCAGAGTAGACACTGTGGGGAGATGTGATCTGTCCCTGTGACTGGTCACATTGCCTCTGTAGCGGGGCAGCAGCAGCAGCCGGGCAGGGCTGCTAGGTGTCGTCACTGCAGTGGTGTGGAGCGGTCAGCAGGGGACGCCTGTCTCGGGCCATGCTCTCCCACTCCTTCTTCACCATGACGTACAGCCTCATTGCTGCCTGGGCATCCTGAATCTAGACGACACGAAACATCCCAGCAGGTGACAAGGCATAGCTGCGGCCCACGGTCAACCCCACAATGACTGAGCCCTCCCACTAGCCACTCTGCTAGGGATGTACTGAGTGAGATGTGGACCCGGCCAAAAAATGTCACCAGGATGGGGAGGGAGGACACAACAGAAGCAGAGGGAGCAACGACCTGATGGTCCCCACACTTCTGTGACTCAGACCCCCCTTTCAGAAGAAAGGGGAACTGAAAGAGGAGGAGCAACAAACACGCTGCCTTTTTAGGTTTCTGAGTGCAGGGTGATGGCAGGCTGGGCGCCGGGCACGGGGCACAAGGACCAAGCAGACGGGCACGAAGGGCCCAAAGCGCTGAGGCCACGCTGCAGGGAGTGACTGCTCCACAGAGGCGGAGCCAGCTGCTCAATGGGCCGGTCAGGGCAGGGCTGGAGGGCTGGGGTGGGGGGGCTTTGTAATTATTTGGCAACTTTTTCTCCAAATAATGAGAATGCAGTTCTTTTGTGTTGTGTTAAATTCGTTAAATGTGCATATTTAGAACTTAACCAAAATTCCGTAACTCTGCTCTGCCATTTTTTTTTTTTTTGACCAATAGCCTCATAGGAAAAGTAGGTGCCCAGGCCCCTCCTCCCCCATGTCTGTGTCAGGTGACTCATGTCTGGTTCCTGGTGAGAAACCGCCCCAAACCCCATGGACTGCCTCCCAGGACACACTCACCGAACAGTGCTCCGCCTGCTGGACCTGGAGCCCAAGGATCTTCTCTGAAAGTAGTCGCAGAGACGGCCTTCCACTCTGCAAAGGGGGAAGAGGCGGGGGGCCTCTGCAGGCTCTGCCCACACAGGGTCATCGCACCCAGCAGGGACTACTTGGGTGGCTACTGAACCTCACCCAAGCGACCTACAGTTTGCCTCTCAGTGGAGGTGCTCATGGCACTTAGGGTGGCAGCCACCAGCTGCAACCTCTTTATAACATGATATGCTGGTGATGCACCCCATCAGCCAATCAAGGGAGAGGGCCAGGGGAGGAGTCAGCATCCCCATCTCCCATCTTGAGGCCTCCCTGCTTATTTCAAGAGGGACAGCTCTGGTCAGGCACGGTGACTCTCACTTGTAATCTCAGCACTTAGGAGGCCAAGGAGGGCAGATCACTTGAGCCCAGGAGTTTGACAACAGCTAGGGCAACATAGCAAGACCCTATCTCTACAAAAAAATGAAAAAATCAGCCAGGGGTGGTGGCATATGCCTGCAGTCCCAGCTATTTCAGACGCTAAAGTGGAAGGACTGCCTGAGCCTGGGAGGCGGCAGTTACGGTGAGCCGAGATCATGCCACTGCACTCCAGCCTGGGTGACAGAGCAAGACCCTGACTAAAAAAAAAAAAAAAAAGGGGGATGAAGAACAGCTGTGCCCTTGGCACCCTCTAGAGTAGATACGACAGTGGCACCAGGCCCTTAGTCAGTGACCGTGTTTCAGAGGTTAGAGTGGAAGTAACTTGCCCTCTGTTGCAATCATTTTTAAAGTCAGCAATTAGCAGAACTCTATTTTTAAACATTCCTTCTAGTTTTAAAGGTTAAAAGGAAAAACAAAAACCCTTTAACCAACAAGTCAGCCACCAGTGACCAGAAACAATGAAGTGACCAGCAAAACAGAAATACGGTATCTGGAGTCACACTCATTTTAAGTACCTTTACTTGACTCTTGAAAGGTTTATATTTCTGTGTGTCTCGAATCTTCTTTTTTGGATGATCAAGAAACAGTACCTAGAAAAAGAAAATATGATGATAATCATTTTCATTTTTGGTTTATAGTAGCAGAACCCCCTCCCCCCGCCACCTTTTACAAGTAACATCTTTGTGTGTGTGTGACATAGTCTTGCTGTCACCCAGGCTGGAATGCAGTGGCTCAATCTTGGCTGACTGCAACCTCCGCCTCCAGGTTTCAAGTGATTCTCCTGCCTCAGCCTCCTGAGTAGCTGGGATTACAAGTGCCCGCCACCACGCCTGGCTGATTTCTGTATTTTTCAGTACAGACAGGGTTTTGCCATGTTGGCCAGGCTGGTCTCGGAACTCCTGACCTCAGGTGACCCACCTGACTCGGCCTCCCAAAGTGGTGGGACTACAGGTGTGAGCCACCGTGGCTGCCCTGCAAGTAACATCTTGTAGGGAATCCAAGCATGTCACACACACCCAGAAACGAGGCATTGATACGAACTTAAACTCCATGAGGAAATTTATCACAGTGACTTAAGCATCATGATGCCCAACAGTCAGAGACAATAAAAACAAAATCTTGAAATCAAGGAAGAAGGAGAAAAACAGTCAACAATTAACCAGCAACCAACTTTTTCCTATATTATACTTGTATTTTGAGTTGGTTCTGCACATCAGGAAGTTGGAAACAACACATTATAACAGCTCATCTTGCAATCTTAGCATGCAATCTTTTTTTTTTTTTTTTGAGACAAGAGTCTCGCTCTGTCGCCCAGGCTGGAGTGCAGTGGCGCGATCTCGGCTCACTGCAAGCACCGCCTCCCGGGTTCACGCCATTCTCCTGCCTCAGCCTCCCGAGTAGCTGGGACTACAGGCGCCTGCCACCATGCCTGGCTAATTTTTTGTATTTTTTAGTAGAGACGGGGTTTCACCATGTTAGCCAGGATGGTCTTGATCTTCTGACCTCATGATCTTCCCGCCTCAGCCTCCCAAAGTGCTGGGATTACAGGCGTGAGCCACCGCACCCAGCCTCTTTTTTTTTTTGATAGGCTCTCACTCTGTCACCTGGGCTTCAGTGCTATGGGGTAATCATGGCTCCCTGCAGCCTTGACCTCCTGGGCTCAACTGATCCTTCCACCCCAGCCTCCTGAGTAGCTGGGGCAACAGGCACACGCCACCACACCTGGCTAATTTAAAAATTTTTTACAGAGATGGGGGTCTCCCTATGTTACTCAGGCTGGTCTCTAACTCCTGGCCTCAAGCAATCCTCCAGCCTCAGCCTCCCAAAAACCTGTGATTACAGACATGAGTCACTGTGTCTGGTCCTTAGCATAATCTTCAAGAAAGACTTAAACATGTGTTGCACAAGTTACCAGGGATGGAGCCAGAGTCAGGAGGGAAGGACAAGTTACCACAGTGGCAGTCTCTGAGGGGATATGACAGGAGCACACAAGACTTTCTGTGAGGATATTGCCCGGGTGGTTCTCATCTCAGTTTCACCCTCTATAAACAAGCGTGAACACCTCTGGCATCTTTAATGGATTCAAGAGATCTCTATAGTGCCATAACGGGAGCACCACAGCAAAGGCTGCTGTTTGACCATTAGCATCTCTGCCACTTCCTTCTGAACGGCTTCAAGCTCCTCACCACACCCAAGTGCTTCAAGCCGGTGGGCAGAGGTGAGAACTTAAGAAGTATCTCTCCCATCTAGCAGACTGGCCTCCCCACTGTTCCCACTGTGTCCTTTAAACCAACATCCAGGCATTTGGCCATGAACTCAAAGTGACCCCCACCCTGTTCTCCTGTAAATACACACATACTCGCTCTGCCTGACCCTTCATTCCTGCCTCGGATGACCAGGGGATGGCGGGCTGCCCTCCCCACCCATGAGGCCTGCCCTGCCCAGGGTCTGTGTATGTCTTTGACCTTGTTTCCCACAGTGCTGGTGTCTGAATTTGCACCTTCCATCTGAACAACCAGGGGCTGCCCCAGGCGGGATTTTCCTGGGATGCCAGGAAGAAGGCAAAGGCAAGCTCCCAGGGCCAGGGTGACGGTCAGGCAGGCGTAACCTGAACACGGGCCACAGGGCATCTGCCAGGATAAACTAGTTTCCTGCAGAGGGACCCTGGTCACAGATAGGACAACTGGGCATTAGGCCCTCCTCCAGGTAAAAGGGGTATCAGCACCTTCATTTCTTGTTAGGGTGGGATTGCCAGCTGCTCTGGTACGGGAACCCCAGTTTTGCTGGGGGCTCTCAAAACAAGAGCCTCGCATGGTTCCTAAAACACAGTAAGAACTCAGCACGTGGTATCTGATATTATTACCAAAGTATTCCCAACACAGGGCACAAACCCAACCATTTAAAAAAACTCCACAACACAGCACAAGGGGGTGAGTGAAACACGCACGGAGCAGGGGCAGGCCGAGTCCCCGGGAGGGAACCCAGTACCTTCAGGTCATTATGCAGAGCGTGTCCCACTAGAATTCTGCCCTTCAGCATCTCTGCCACTTCCTTCTGGACAACTTCAAGCTGTTCTCCTGGAAAATCAACACAAAGAAGCGGTTTTTTGCAACACACACATCACCATCATTCTTAGAGGAGGCAGCCCCGCTCCCACCTCTGGCCAGCCCTAAGACAAAGGGTCAGGCCAGCAATGCCACTGCGGAGGGTGACTCGAAGCCACCACACCCACCCACCCCCCTGGGAGAAGTGCCTTGCGGGCCCCTGGCAGGGGCGGCTGCGAGGACCACCTCTGAGGAGAGGAATAAAGTGCTCCTCACAGTCTGCAAAGTCGGCTCGTGGCTGGAGGAGAGCATCTGTTGAGTGTAGGCACTGAGAAACTTTTAGAGCCGCCTGGCAGCGCGGTTCTGCCTATTCAACCTCATAATTTACTCGACAATTTTCCTAATGGAAATAAAAACAAAACTGCCCCCACAAAAACGGGCAGAGATGTGTTGCCCTAGGCTCTGGGCTCCAGAGGCAGCCCTGCCTGCTTTTGGGGACCACCCCACCACCAATCCCACCTGTACCTCCCAAACAGGGCTGACTAGACCAAGGGTGGCCCGAGCCAAGTAGGACCAGCTAATTTTTTAAAAACATCTTTTAGAAGGCCAGGCGCGGTGGCTCATGCCTGTAATCCCAGCACTTTGGGAGGCCGAGGTGGGCAGATTACCTGAGGTTGGGAGTTCGAGACCAGCCTGACCAACATAAAGAAACCCTGTCTCTAGTAAATACAAAATTGGTAGGGCGTGGTGGCACATGCCTGTAATTCCAGCTACTCAGGAGGCTGAGGCAGGAGAATCGCTTGAACCCAGGAGGCAGAGGTTGCAGTGAGCCCAGATTATGCTATTGCACTTCAGCCTGGGCAACAACAGCAAAACTCCATCTCAAAAAAAAAAAAAGGCTGGGTGCGGTGGCTCAAGCCTGTAATCCCAGCACTTTGGGAGGCCGAGACGGGCGAATCACGAGGTCAGGAGATCGAGACCATCCTGGCTAACACGGTGAAATCCCATCTCTACTAAAAAAATACAAAAAACTAGCCGGGCGAGGTGGAGGGCGCCTGTAGTCCCAGCTACTTGGGAGGCTGAGGCAGGAGAATGGCGTGAACCCGGGAGGCGGAGCTTGCAGTGAGCCGAGATCGCGCCACCGCACTCCAGCCTGGGCGACAGAACGAGACTCCATCTCAAAAAAAAAAAAATTTTTTTAGAAACAAGGTCTCGCTATGTCGTCCAGGCTGGACTTGAATTTCCTGGGCTCAAGCAATCCTCCCTTCTTGGGCTCCTGAGTAGCTGGGACTACAGGCACGAGCCACCATGCCCGGCTACTGGCCTGGTCTTCAAGTCAGTGGACAGGAGGCAATGAAGTGCAAGGCAGAAATGGGTGTAAAGCCGTCTAAGGATGGCCTTTGTATTTGAAACCCCATCGCCCCAAGAGGAGACAAGACGCATCGAAACTAGCTACAGTGAGTGTCTCAGAAGCAAAAGGGAACAAAAGGGAGAAAATGCATCCAGTTACGACTTTCCCTTCTAAGTTCCTGAGCTGCAGATGACATACCCTGCTTGAGGTTCTCAGGCCGAATCCCACTGACCGCTGTCCTATAGTCCGTCACGGGCTCGGCTGGTTTGACGTACTTATCATAAACGCACTTCCCATACTGGTTCACGATGGATACACGGGCGGCCACGCTGTCCTCCCCCTTAGGGCCCACGCCCACCATCTCACAGTCCAAGGCTAAGGCTCTTGTCAGGCTGAAGGGTAACCAAAGGCTCTAGTTTAATAAACACGACAGGACACAGGGCTCCAGGTCAGAGCCCCAGGGATCCATGGACAAAGTGTCGGCAAGCTCTCTGCCCCGCACTCATGTGCACCCACGTGACAAGCTCTGTGTGGTCCTGGTTCTTAGCAGGACCCTGGGAGGTGCTTGCTCCATTCACCTCGGGGAGAGGAAAGTATCCTCTTCCTTGAAGAAGCCCCGCCCTCTACGGCTAAGCATCCCCAGCAGAGCCCGCTCCCTGAGACCAGCATACCCGCCGAAGGCCTGCTCTTTCACGAGGCTGAGGCTGACGCTGCCCTCGCTCTGACCCAACTGTTTCCTCGCTATCTTGGCCGCCTCTGGACCTATGGCAGCTTCGATATCCGCCGGGTCCACGTCGTCAAACCAGATGTCTTCCCTAAAAGGCAAAGGTAACAAGCTGATCACCAGAAGAGCCTAGTGCAACTGGTGGGGCGGGGCTGTGCGGCTGACTGTGCAGGTGAGTGGGGCGATGGCACGGCCTGCCTCTCCCACAGGCTGGCCCCAGACACCCCGACCGTGGCCCTGCTGCTTCTGCTATTTTGATTATCTTGACATTTTCCTTTTTTTTTTTTTCTTGAGATGGAGTCTCACTGGGTCACCCAGCCTGGAGTGCAGTGGCACGATCTTGGCTCACTGTAACTTTTGCCTCCCAGGTTCAAGCAACTCTCCTGCCTCAGCCTCCCTAGTAGCTGGGATTACAGGCGCCCACTACCACGCTTGGCTAATTTTTTGTATTTTTAGTAGATATGGGGTTTCGTCATGTTGGCCAGGCTGGTCTTGAACTCCTGACCTCAAGTGATCTGCCCGCCTCGGCCTCCCAAAGAGCTGGGGTTACAGGTGTGAGCCACAGCGCCCGGCCTCATCTCTTTTCTAATTAGAAAATACACTCATTATTTAAGACTTAGGAACAGAGATAAGCACAAAGAATATAAAACAGAAACATATAACCCACCGCCCAGGTGTAATGAGTGCTAGCATTTTAATTATGAAAGGAACAGGTTCATTATCAAACACTTAGGAAACACAGACACAATGCCTGTAAGATGGAAACACAGAACCCTTTGCCCTCCATACTCGGATGCTCACGCAGGTACATAACACCTGCCTGGGGAATCTGTCTCTTAGGCTAAGGTTAAATGTCATTTCCTTAGAAAAGAACTTCCTGGACCCACCGAATGGACACGTCCCCCGTGTCCCAGGCTCCCAACACCTTCTCCTCACCAGATTTATCCTGACCACACTTAGGCAACAGCTGTGGTTACAGTCTGTCTACTGCACTTGACAATAAGCCTCAAGAGGAAGGAGCGGGCCCGCCTCAATGAACTCTATCCCAGACAGCCTGCCTAGCACAACATAGGGAGGCCCCCAAATGGCTCCTTCCTCAGCCGTCAGCGACCATGTCCTGAACACCCAGGTGACACGAAGCCAGCTGTGACTTATGAACACGTCACCTCCAGTTGAACCATTCAGAGATAGCCACTGACTCCTGGTCTACCCCACGTGGGTGGCCAGCACAGGGTTTATTCTTTTTTTTTTTTTGAGTCTCGGTCCATCACCCGGGCTGGAGACAGAAGTGCAATCACAGCTCACTGCAGCCTCGACCTCCAGGGATCAAGTGATCCTCCCACCTTGGCCTCCTGAGGAGTTGGCACCACACCTGGCTCCATCACAGGGTTGAAGTAATCACCAGGCACTGAGCCAAGAAAGCCAACCTCACAATCTCCTTGTGACGCCACCAGGACTAACACAAGGCACAGAGGACGTCAGAAACTTGCCCCAAGCCACCCAACTGGCGAGAAGCAGGGACAGGCCTCACAGTCGGGTCTTTCTGGCTTCAGCATGCTTTCCTTCCACACACGTATACTGGCACCCACTAAATGCTGAGCTCTGCTCAACGCTTGGAAGAAGCAGGCCCTGCCTTATCATGCCCACACTCTAGGGGAATACAAGTAACAGCAAGTAAACAAGGAACAGACGACATCAGGGTAAGGTGATGGAGAGACTGCGGTGAGGCCACCAGCCTCCATAAGGAGGCAGGCCTTGGTGAAGTCGCTGCGCCTCAGTTCTCAGTGCTGAGGTGGCCGATACTTACTCGGTGGGTGGGGCCGGGGCTGCCTCCTCAGCTTTCCGCTTCTTATGCTTGATGTCCCCCCGTTCTGGAACAATATCACTATTTGTCCTTTCCTTGGTTCCTTTCTTAATGTGCTCTGCTCCACTGGCCTTGCTGCGAGGTACTGGCGCCTTCCGGTCCATCTTGGAGCCTGAAGGAACAGAGCCCCTGCTGGCCTCTTGCTCTTTTCCTGCCGGCATCTCCTCTCCCTTCACTTGAGGTGAGGTCTCTTTTTTGTTCTGCTGGATAATTTTGGGCTTCTTTTTGGAACCCATCTGAGAGATGACAAGAGGCTTTTCTGGAGTCTGAGATTTCTGTTTCAGCAGCCACTGGGACCCAAAATAAAATACATGCTACATTTGAATTTGGAAATGACACACAGCAGATTGAAAAAAAAACTTACGTGTGTATGCATATACACACATATACACTAATCACGTCTATACAATTCCCATCAGCATCACTGAAATTCATTTTCTTTTTTTTTTTTTTTTGGACGGAGTCTGGCTCTGTTGCCCAGGCTGGAGTGCAGTGGCCGGATCCCAGCTCACTGCAAGCCCCGCCTCCCGGGTTCACGCCATTCTCCTGCCTCAGCCTCCCGAGTAGCTGGGACTACAGGCGCCCGCCACTTCGCCTGGCTAGTTTTTTGTATTCTTTTTAGTAGAGATGGGGTTTCACCGTGTTAGCCAGGATGGTCTCGATCTCCTGACCTCGTGATCCACCCGTCTCGGCCTCCCAAAGTGCTGGGATTACAGGCTTGAGCCACCGTGCCCGGCCTGAAATTCATTTTCAAATGGTTTGGAAAAAGCTTTTTCATTCTCATGAGTCACTTGTGGTGAAATGCTGTTTCTTTGCTCATCTTATTATAATGCATTTTACGCCTGCTCCTTCAGGCATACAACATTTCAAACTCATTCCATACCTTAGGTACCTGTTGAGTGGCTGGCTGGACACCGCAGACCACTTCCCTTTTTTAGTTTATCTAGAAAGAATTTTGGAGTTAACTTCCCTCACAGCTTGGGCCAACACCCCGCTACACAGAAATCACCTTTTTTTTTTTTTTTTTCTTTTTTTACAAGATTGCCTGGTTTGCTACTGCTGTGAAGGTCTCAGGGAGGTGGGCGCTGTGATAAACAAAAAGAAAAGCTTCTGTCCAGCTGGAGTGGCTGAAGAACTGCTGGCAGCCACAGCCTGGCCGTCACCCAAGCAGAGGCTCCTGCGGTCTTAGAGCCTAGCTTCCTCCCTGTGTTCAAATCCCCAGCTGCAGTGGGCTCCACCACAGTGCAATGATGAGGCGGGTGTTACTTACCTGTTTCCGTGATAGGTAAAGAACTGAAGGGCTGATTTCCTTGGATAAATTAGAAAAAACTCAAAAGTTTCCCTACAGCAAACATCCCTTCCATTCACTTATTTTGCTCTTCTTTCTTGGGAGAGGAGTTAGTGTTCAAGAAATCCCACAGAACCCTGAGGCTGCCCATGGGAATTTGACTGGTCCCGTGTGTCAATACAGGAAAATCATTAGGAAAGCCTGCACTGAGATATTGTGCAGAGTATTAGGAGGTTCAAGAAGCATTCGGGGAGGCTGAGGTGGGAGGACTGCTTGAACCAGGAGTTGAAGACCAGCCTGGGCAACAAAGTGAAACCCCATCTGTATTAGCTCATTGTGCATTGCTAGAAAGGAATACCTGTGTTTGGTAATTTATAAAGAAAACGGGTTTATTTAGCTCATGGTTTTGCAGGATGTACAAGAAGCATGGTGCCAGCATCTGCTTCTGGTGAGGCCGCAGGAAGCTTCCCATCATGGTGTAAGGTGAAGGGGGAGCAGGTGTGTCGCATGGTGAGAGAGCAAGAAAGGTGCTAGGCTCTTTTAAAACAACCAGCCCTTGAATGAACTAGCAGAGTGAGAATTTACTCATTACTGAGGGCAGGGCACCAAGTCATTCATGAGGGATCTGCCCCCATGACCCAATACCTCCTATGGGCCCCATCTCGAACACTGGGGATCACATCTCTTTTTTGAAAAACTACTTTTTACTTTTTTTAGAGACGGAATCTCACCATGTTGCTCAGGCTGGACTTGAACTCCTGAACTCAAGTGATCCTCCTGCCTGGGCCTCCCAAAGTGCTGGGATTACAGATGTGGGCTACTCGGGAGGCTGAGGCAGGAGAATCACTGGAGCCCAGGCAGCAGTCCTAACAGTAGCTTCAAGGGAGCTCCAAGGGACGTGGTAAGAATGTATGAGTGACACACGCGGAAGTGTCTGCGAGAGAGCAGGCAACCTCTAGAGAAGCGCCAGTCACTAGAGAGACAGCAGGTACAACACAGGTTTAAAACATGGACTCCAGAGTCAGCCACCTGGTTCCCAGCCGCAATCTTAGACGATCTATTTAACCTTTTCCAGCCTAATTCCTCATCTGTGCAACAGACATGATGAAAGTGTCCACCTCACAGTCTTATTGTGGGGATTGCAACACACATGGCATAGAGCACATGGCAGAGTGCACATTTTAGGAGCTCAATTAATATTTATTTCAAGACCATAAGTGTTGCTAGAACCCTTTCTATCACATGTCTGCTATCTGCTTTTCACCTCTACACAGGGATCTTCTTTCTCCCTGTCTTGCTACACAGACCAGCGTGTTCTTTTATTGTTGTTTGAGATGGAGTCTCACTCTGTCGCCCAGGCTGGAGTGCTGTGGCACATTCTCCGCTCACTGCACCTCTGCCTCCCGGGTTCAAGTGATTCTCCTGTCTCAGCCTCCCTAGTAGCTGGGACTACAGGCGCGCGCCACCACGCCCAGCTAATTTTTTGGTATTTCTAGTAGAGACAGGGTTTCACCATATTGGCCAGGCTGGTCTCCAACTCCTGACCTCAGGTGATCCGCCCCCCTCGGCCTCCCAAAGTGCTGGGATTACAGGCGTGAGCTGCCGGGCCCAGCCACGAGTGTGTTCTTTTCACTGTCCTTGGGTGGTTCATCTGGTTTCGGGATTTTTTTTGTTTGTTTGTTTTTGTTTTTGTTTTTGGTTTTTTTTTTGAGGCGGAGTCTCCCTCTGTCGCTCAGGCTGGAGTGCAGTGGCCGGATCTCAGCTCACTGCAAGCTCCGCCTCCCAGGTTTACGCCATTCTCCTGCCTCAGCCTCCCGAGTAGCTGGGACTACAGGCGCCCGCCACCTCGCCCGGCTAGATTTTTGTATTTTTTAGTAGAGACGGGATTACACTGAGTTAGAAAAGATGGACTCACTCTTGACCTCGGGGGATCCGCCCGCCTCGGCCTTCCAAAGTGCTGGGATTACAGGCGTGAGGCCCCGCGCCCGGGCTGCTTTCGGGATTTCAAGCTAAATTTCTCTTTGTAAAACCTATTCCAGTTAGTTCATTATGCAAAAGGTACAAGGGTTTATCTCTGCTTTTTTGTACTTGAAATAATTCATCAATTTTATGCAAACAAGTTCGAGACCTTCCTCAACAGGCCACCTTTCTTGTGAAAAGATGTTTACAAGATTTCGATTCAAATCTGCCTTTACAGGTCCTTTTTGGGGCTACCCAAGTCTTTCCCTCCGTCGCGTTCTGCGGGAATGAGCTGCGCAGGGCTCCGCCCAGGCCCGCTCAAGCCTCACCTCTTGCAGCGCCTTCCAGTTTTGAGAAAAGTCTTCTGGTGCCTTTGGAGGTCGCACCACAACACCGGGGCCGCTTCCTGGCTTCTTGCTTACTTCCTGCGGCTTGCTTTTCCAAAATCTTTTTTTCTTCTTGTTTTTCTTCCGAGTGAGCGTCTTGACAGGACCCGGCTTAGCCACCGGGCTGCTCGGGGCGCGCCTGGAGGCGGGGACCTTCGCCTTCACCATCCTGCTGCGGTCCGGCGCCTGGGCCGGCGGCCACCCGAGACCCTGGCCTCCCCGGGCCCGGCGCCGCGGCAGCACAAGGGCCTGCCCAGGCCAGGCCGAAACACACTCACGGCAGCGACCCGGCCCAGGAAAAGGCTCCGGAAGAGACCCCGCACGCGTCCAGCATGCCTCAGGGCTCACGCTCCAGTTCCCGGAAGTGCTCGTCTCTCCGCAACCGGCTGGAAACCCTGCCCCCGCCTCTGGTTCCGCGCAGCCTGGGCGGTTCGCCAGCACCGGACTTGGGCCGCCGTCTTAGCCAGCGGCATCCGGGGTCATCGACCTCGAGTTTGAATGGGCAAGCCGAGGACCTCCCCAAGATCCGGGATGGGGATGAGAGATGCGGACGCCACAAGGGAACTGGTGGGCCGCCGTGTGTGTAGCACCGGGTGGGGCAGCAGCGCGTGGGGGCACTGGGCTGTCGGGCTAGTGAGAGCCGGGCTTGGTCCCTGGACTGCGTCCTGGACTCTCGGGCCTTTCCCGCCTTGGGCTGCTCCACGCTTAGCCTCACAGCGGCTCATCTTCTATATACAGTGGGGAAACTGAGGCCCAGGCACGGGGAGGAGTTCCCGCCAGTTTACTGTGAAGCAGGAGGAGCCGCAGACAAGAAACCCTCAGACGCTGAATTGTAGAAGGAAAGGGCTTTATTTAGCTGGGAGCATCTGCAGACTCAGGTCTCCAAAAACCGAGCTCCCCGAGTGTGCAATTCCTGTACCTTTTAAGGGCTTACAACTCTAAGGGGGTCCGCGTGAGAGGGTCGTGATGATTGAGCAAGCAGGAGGCACGTGACTCGGGGCTGCATGCACCGGTAATCAGAAAGCAACAGAACAGGACAGGGATTTTCACAATGCTTTTCCATACGTCTGAAATCTATAGATAACATAACCAGTTAGGTCAGGGGTCGATCTTTAACCAGGCCCAGGGCGCAGCGCCAGGCTGTCTGCCTGTGGATTTTATTTCTACCTTTTAGTTTTTACTTCTTTCTTTGGAAGCAGAAATTGGGCATAAGACAATATGAGGGGTGGTCTCCTCCCTTAACCTCTGTCTCCTGGGTTCAAGTGATTCCCCTGCCTCAGCCTCCTGAGTAGCTGGGATTACAGGTGCACGCTACCATGCTCTGCTCATTTTTGTATTTTTAGTAGACCTGGGGTTTCGCCATGTTGGCCAGGCTGTCTCAAACTCCTGACCTCAAGTGATCCATCTGCCTTGGCCTCCCAAAGTGCTAGTATTACAGGTGTGAGCCACTGTGCTCAGCTGGGAGTGGATAGATTTGATATGCATGTGTAACAGGCAAAGGTTGATGGAGTAACAGGGAAGGGAGGCTCCTAGGATTTTGGTCTGAGCAACTGGGTGTGGCCATTTATCATCTCAATAAATGTCTGCGGGAGGCAGGGTGAAGTATGGGAGTGGAGCCATGAGCTCCTTTTCACACTTGCTGAGTTTGAATGGGCAGTCACCAACAGAGATGTCTAATCAGCAGCAGGATCTAAGATTCCTAAGCTTAGGGAAGGGTCAGTGCTGGAGATGTAGTTTGGAAATTGTCAGCATATAATTAGTGTTGAAACCATGAGCCTGGGTTAGTTCATCCAAGGAGAGAGTACCACTATAGGGAGTGAAGGGCTAAGGCCAGATAACAGGTGCTTGGGGCTCTCCAAGGGCGAAGCAGCAGAGGAGGCTGAGGGGGAGCAGTCAATGTTGTGGGAGGAGAGGTGGATATGAGTGGTATTAGAGAATCCAGGGGGAGAATAAACCACATCAGATGCTGCTGAGAGGCTGAGAAAGATGAGGACAGAGAGATGGGAACCAGATATGGCACTGAGATTGTCAACAAGTCCACTGAAAAGGATTTTCTTTTTTTTCTTTTTTTTTTTGAGACGGAGTCTTGCTCTGCTACCCAGGCTGGAGTGCAGTGGTGTGGTATCAGTTCACCACAATCTCCACCTCCTGGGTTCAAGCAATTCTTCTGCCTCAGCCTCCCGAGTAGCTGGGACTACAGGTGCACGCCACCATGCCTGGCTAATTTTTGTATTTTTTTTTGAGATGAAGTTTTGCTCTTGTCACCCAGGCTGGAGTGCAATGGCGCAATCTCGGCTCACCGCAACCTCCACTTCCCAGGTTCAAGTGACTCTTCTGCCTCAGCCTCCCAAGTAGCTGGGATTACAGGCATGTGCCACCATGCCCGAATAATTTTGTACTTTTAGTAGAGATCGGGTTTCTCCATGTTGGCCAGGCTGGTCTCGATCTCCAGACCTCAGGTGATCCACCTGCCTAGGCCTCCCGAAGTGTTGGGATTACAGGCGTGAGCCACCACACCTGGCCTAATTTTTGTATTTTTAGTAGAGATGGGGTTTCACTATGCTGGCCAGGCTGATCTCAAACTCCTGACCTTGTGATCCGCCTGCCTCAGCCTCCCAAAGTGCTGGGATTACAGGCATGAGCCACCGCACCCGGCCCGGGTTTTCTTTTTAAAAAAGGAAAAAAAACTTTGTTCCAGCAGTTTACAAACCAGGGCGATGCAGCCTTCTGTGCAAAGGTGCATTCCAGAGAACGAAGAAAGAGGTTGTCTTTTGTAGAGAACTTCTGCTCAGGTTTCCACTTTGGTCCACTTAAGCAAATGAGGAAGGCACACTTGCTTAGTTCTCACTGGTTAATACTTGCTGAGCTCAGATTGGTTGATGTGGGTCACAGTCGATGGGTTGATTCTGGTGGCATAAATAGGAACAGACAGCTATGAAACCATCCCAGAGGTAAGCGAGAGTGGGGGCTTTCCAGGAATGCAGAATGTGTGTGTGACCCTAGTCAGCAAATGGCTTCTAGGTCCTACTTTGAATTTAGACCCAGTTAGTGACTTGGGAACCATCATGAAGGATTGGCTCTTTCAGGGTTCACAAAGTTATTGGTGACCTTTTAAAGATTAATTTCAGTGGGATGTGGGAATTGGAGGCAAGGAAGTGGAGATAGCTACTGAAAATAATGTTTCCAAGTTCTTAAAGAAAGACAGAAACAGGGCTATGGGGGGAGGACAGTGCGGGTCAAGGGGAGGTTGTTGATTGTAAGCAAGAGACACCAGAGTGCCTGGGTGTGGTGGGGCTCATGCCTGTAATCCCAGCACTTTGGGAGGCCGAGGCGGTCAGCTCACCTGAGGTCAGGAGTTTGAGACCAGCTTGGCCAACATGGCGAAACCCCACCTCTACTAAATATACAATAACTAGCCAGGCGTGGTGGCAGGCACCTGTAATCCCAGCCACGAGGGAGGCTGAGGCAGGAGAATCACTTGAACCTGGGTGATGGAGGCTGCAGTGAGCCGAGATCGTGCCAGTGCACTCCAGCCTGGGTGACACAGCAAGACTCTGTCTCAAAAAACAAAAACCAAAAAAGAGACAGCAGAGTCATGTATGCTGATGGGGTGAGCCAGGTACTAGGATCTCGACATCTAAGCATGCCCCCTTCTCCAAGAGCCTCCTTACGTTCCTGCATAGAAGCACACCCTCCCCTCCAGCCCCCCATTCCTTTATTCTGCTGTATTTTTCTCCATGACACTTACCACCTTTGAACAGACTACATACACAACACGTGTTTGTCTAGCAACTGTGCTGTCTGGCTCTCTTTCCTAGAATTTAAGCTGTGAGAGGCTGACGCTGCTGTCTGCCTGGCTCGTGGCTGCTTTCCTGGTGTCTAGCACAGAGCCTGGCCTGTTTCAGGGGCTCAGTGAAGCATTTGTTGGCTGAAGGAATGAATGAATGGCTCTAGCAGAGGGACAGAAACTAACGATGCAGGAGAAGAGAGCTGGGAAGGGATCCAGAGCCAGGGCCTGGCTGCGTCCTCCCTGATTGCAGAGGAGGAGAGAGGCTGCACTTTGAGGGGTGGAAACACAAGGTGTATCCCCCTGATGGTCATCAGCTTGTGCGGCTGTGTGGGTGTGAGGGGTGTAAAAGAGTGGTTTGGAGCATGTGAAGAGAGCCTTCCAGGAGGTGAGGGGGATTGCCAGGCGGTTTGTGATGATGCCGAGATCTGGTGCTATGCAGCCTGCTTCTGCGACTCTCCCCATCAGGCACAGGCACAGAGTAGGCGGAGAGTTGAGCCAGAACCGCGATGTCTTTTGCACAGCCTTTCATCTGTCAGATGGGAGCGGGGACCCCAGAGAGAGAGCCAGCCCAAGGTCCTGGCATCCTCGTGAACCCCCGTCTGCGGGTTTCTGGTCCAGTGTCCCTTCTAGATGGTTAGGCCTCCTCTGAGGAGGTGGGTGTGCACATCCGGAGAGCTCTCTGGAGTGCAGGACTGGGCTGCAGGGTACCCTGAACTGCAGCCATCTTAGAGCAAGGTCCAGGCTGCAGCAGGAGGAGCTGCAGGCCGCCCACCCTAGCCACGGCCCCTGCCCTGGCAGGAAGCTTCCAAGAGTAAACACTGCCTAATCGTCCCGCCCAGCGAGCAGGCCTGTCCATTCCACGCTGGCCAGATTCCCAGTCACCAAGGCCCCCTCTCACTCTGCTCCACTCTGCAGGCTGGCTCTCCTGAGGATGCGCCAGCGTCACCCCCGGGCAAGATGCCCTTCCCTCTGTGTGGCCGGAATCCTTGCCTGTGGCTTTCTCCTGGGCTGCTGGGGACCCTCCCATTTCCAGCAGGTGGGCGCATTTGCAGGAGCGGGGGTATTCTGGGAGCTTCTCGGTGGGGTATTCTGAGCTACCTGGGGCGAGGGGAGTGCCAAACAGCTGACTACATCAGCTCTGGGGTTTGCGCTGGGCAGGGAAGTCTGCACTTGGGGTTTTGGGGGATGAAGTGTGCTCACTGAAGAGGGAGTCGGTGTCTCAGTACGACCTGCTCATCCAGTGAAGCTGAACAGACAGATACTAGTTTGTCCCAAACTATGTGGGTTGCTCTTCTCTGCCTCTCCCTTCCTCTCCCGCTCCCTGTCTCTGATTTCCCCCTCTCTTTCTTGGTTGGCCTCACCCACCTCCTGCTTCCTGTCTCTTTCTTCATCCGTATCTTTTTCTTCTTTCTTTCCTCCTTCCTTCCTTCCTTCCTTCCTTCCCTCCCTCCCTCCCTCCCTCCCTCCTTCCTTCCTTCCTTCCTTCCTTCCTTCCTTTCTTCTGTCTTTCTGTCTTTGACTTTCTGTCTTTCTTCTTCTTTTTTTTTTGACATGGGGACTTGTTATGTTGCCCCGGCTGGTCTCAAACTCCTGGATCAAGTGATCCTCCCACCTCAGTCTCTCCAAGTGTTAGGATTACAGGCGTGAGCCACTGCACCCAGCCCCATCCATCTCTTTTTGTCTTGCAGAGTTTTCTCCAGGCATTGGAGCCACAGGCTGTGTCTTCTTACTTGAGCTCTGGTGCTCCCTTAAAAGGTACTTGTCCTGGTGTCTTCTCTCCCAGGGAAGTTTCTCAGGACTTTCAAGGGGTATCTCACCATTGAGTCAGTGGTCTGGGATTTTTGGTGGATCTGGCAGGAGAAGGTCAGAGAAGCTGCTGTCACCCCTGTTAATTAACTCTGTTACTTCCTGCCAAGTTGATAAAAACTGGTCTGGATGTTCCAGCCAGGCCAGGCTTCTAACCCTAGCTTCTGTTAAATGTCACAAGGGAACGGTCACCGATTGGCTGGCCCCTTCTGCCCCATGGCCTCTGCTGAGCTGGCTGGTTTTCAGGAGCTCTTGGGGTTTCTGGCCGTGGATATAAATATTTATTCCTTCTGCGGGAAACAAGATAGGTGCTGGCTCAGGCTCCCTCCTAAGGCCATGGATTTCCTTATGATAAAGGCCTGTCCCCGTTGCCCACAGGCCCTGTGTGTGACCGTCTCCAGGTGTGAGCCCCCTTCCCAGTAGGGCCATTGACAACTTGACTAACGGCTGATGGGGGCCAGAGGCAAGTGGGCTAGTGGTCAGGGGGAACGGGAGGGCAAGGCCCACCTTGTGACCTGGTTCTTTGTGGTCTAGGCCAGATGCACACTCACCAGTGCCTGGGGCCATCCTGGGGGGCTGGATGCAGCCGATGCTGTCTGGGTATCCCATAGCCTGGGTCCTTCTAGCTCCGCCGCTCCTGAGGGACTGGGAGATCATTGCCCAGGGTCCCTGGCCCTCTAAGGGCTCCCTTGGGGAGAGGACAATGAGGGCTGGCCTGGGCCCCTGCTTCCCAAGAGACCACCGGGCTCCACTTGTGTTCAGTTTCCTGTCGCGGTCCATGATGTTACTCATGAAATATCTGTGCCCAGAGCAGGGTCCAGGAGGCAGGGCAGGGGCTTTCCCCTTTGGGCAGAGCCACCAGGGCAGTAGGAAGCTTGTCTTGATGGGGTGACCTAAAGGACGCCGTAGCCCAACAGCTCCTCCTGGGCCCTGCCCTTTGCATGCCCAGTCACTAATGGGGTCCAGCTCTTGGGGTGGGGTGACACGCGATGTCTTGACTTCGGAAGGCCATCCTTCCAAGACCTGCCAGCCTCTCTCCTGTTGGCTTTCCACTACTTGCTTTCTAGAACCATTGCCCTCTGCTCTCCCCTGCCCCTCCAGGCCACCCTCCCTCCCCCGGCTTCCAGAGGCAGACGCAGAGGCAGAGGCAGAGGCGGGCTGCAGGCAGCATCCTACACCTGGAGCTGCTGGTGGCCGTGGGCCCCGATGTCTTCCAGGCTCACCAGGAGGACACAGAGCGCTACGTACTCACCAACCTCAACATCGTGAGTGCCCCCACGGGAGCGACCTCCAGGGATGGCGCTGGCCTGTGCAGGTCCCCATGTCCAAGGCTGGTGACCAGTGTCTGTGGGCTAGTGTATCTGGTGGTCTGAATACAGTGGGTTAAACTCAGGTAGAATGGCTCGGGGCTCTTCCTCTTCTCCCTCCCTCCCCTGGGTGGAGGTGGGTGAGGTCCCACACCCCCTCTCAGCTCCATAGCACACGCACACCCTGCAGCCTCTCGCTCCTCAAATCCCTTCATCTGGGGCCACCTTCAAGCCTGGCCTCTTCCTCAGTATCCATTTGACCCCCAGGAGGCTCAGCTAACACAACCCTGGCAAACGGGGTGTGGGCTGCTCACACTGCCCTCTGTACCCCGACCCTGCCCTCTCTCCTTCTCTCGTCCCCTACTCAGGGTGGCGAGGACAGGTCACCAGTCTGAAGTCTAAACAGAGACTGCTGGCAAAGGAGATGGCCACCTTCATTTCTTGCTAGCACCTGAATCCCTGCAGCCCCCCTTCACTTGAAAGTGAAGGGTGGGCAGGGAAGCTCTACCCCACTATCGGCCGTCTCAGAAAGGCAAACAAGGCCGAGCGCAGTGACTCATGCCTATAATCCCAGCACTTTGGGAGGCCAAGGCGGGTGCATCACCTGAAGTCAGGAGTTCGAGACCAGCCTGGCTAACATGGTGAAACCCCGTATCTACTAAAAATACAAAAATTATCTGGGCATGATGGCAGGCTCCTGTAATCTGAGAGGAATCTGTGGTCTGAGAGGAGCAGCATTTGACCGGAATATCCAACTCATGACTGTCTGTGTGCTCTCATCCCCTTGCTTTGGAGTTTGTTTTCCTTGCGTTAGTTGGCCTTCCTGAGCCATGAGCTGAGGAGCAGCAGAGGCACGGCTGACTGTGCATCGCATTTTAGGAGCCCCCGCTTCCCACACATGCTTCCCACACATGCTCTCCAGCCCTTCGCACCCCGGGGGCCCCTGGGAGTCAGCAGCTGCCTCGGGCTGGCAATGCCCTCCTGACAGGTTACCTCTCTCATTTGCCCTTCCACAGGGGGCAGAACTGCTTCGGGACCCGTCCCTGGGGGCTCAGTTTCGGGTGCACCTGGTGAAGATGGTCATTCTGACAGAGCCCGAGGTAGGCATGGAGCTGGAGCTCAGCACGCTATACAGAGCGGGAAGCCCAAGTCATCGCATCTCCATCCTCTTTAACCTCTTGTCCTGGATGCCCCAAGCAGCATGGGTCACAGAACATGTTCAGCCAGACGGACCAGCTGCCCTCGCAGCTCTATCCAGCACTCAGCACAGGCTGCCTGACTACTTCTCTGAGCCTCAGTTGTCTCACCCCTAACACGGGCTAGTCAGAGGGCTGTTATGAGGACTAACTGGGAAACACACTGACTGCAGTCAGCACCATGCCTGGTTGGGGTGTCCTAAACGCAGGCTTTGCTGTGAATCTGCAGGGTGCTCCAAATATCACAGCCAACCTTACCTCGTCCCTGCTGAGCGTCTGTGGGTGGAGCCGGACCATCAACCCCGAGGACGACACGGATCCTGGCCACGCTGACCTGGTCCTCTATATCACGAGGTAGCCGAGCTTTCTGATGGGTGCTGGTCAGCCAGCCTGGGAAGGCTGCACCCTCGGCTTCCTACCCTCTGCAAAGGTGATCCTGGGGCAGCCACGTGCCTTGGCACCACCCAAGTGACTGTTTCTCTCACCGAGGTTTGACCTGGAGTTGCCTGATGGTAACCGGCAGGTGCGGGGAGTCACCCAGCTGGGTGGTGCCTGCTCCCCAACCTGGAGCTGCCTCATTACCGAGGACACTGGCTTCGACCTGGGAGTCACCATCGCCCATGAGATCGGGCACAGGTATGCAGCCCCACCAGCTGTCCCCAGGCTCTGGCAAGGAGCTGACCTGGGTACCTAGGGCAAAGGTGGTCTTGGCAAGCAGTGGGTCCTTGTAGAGTTTCGCCAGAGGAGCCTGTACCCCTCACGCCAACAGACTCAGAAGGGTGGGTGTGAGGACAGGGGAACCTGATACTGTTTGATTAAAAAAACTTTTTTTCCAAAAGACGAGCAAAACACCTTTAGCAGGTAGAAAATAACTTCTGTGGAAATATTCAGGTAAAGAAAAAGCAGGCTGTAAAAACTATCTCAAATCCCACCATTTAGAGATAATGTCTCTTCACATTTTGTATTTAATTTCAGTCTTTTCTTTACACACACACACATATTTTTTATTTGCAAAATGGGGATTTAGTTTGGATCCCTGAATTAAAGGAAAATTGTGATTATGCTGTTCATTGCTTTGTTACCTGCTATTTCTTTTTTCTTTTTCTTTTTTTTTTTTGAGGTAGAGTTTCGCTCTTGTTGCCCAAGCTGGAGTGCAATGGCGCGATCTCAGCTAACTGCAACCTCCACCTCCCGTGTTCAAGTGATTCTCCTGCCTCAGCCTCCCGAGTAGCTGGGATTACAGGCATGTGCCACCATGCCCAGCTAATTTTGTATTTTTAGAAGAGATGGGGTTTCTCCATGTTGGTCAGGCTGGTCTTGAACTCCTGACCTCAGGTGATCCACCTGCCTCGGCCTCCCAAAGTGCTGGGATTGCAGGCGTGAGCCACTGCGTCCAGCCTTTCTTTTTTCTTCCTAGAGTGAGTGCAGGATTTACCTGCTCTTTATGTAATAATATATCCCAAACGTTATCCCAGGTCTCTTACAGGCGTGTACCGTAATTTATTTAATCAGGCCCCTCTCCTTGGATGTCTAGGTTGCCTGAACACATCTTCCTGTTGTGAACATTATACATTCTTGTGTGCAAGCCTTTGCTCCTACCTATAACCATTTACCTAGAGTGATGGGTTTCTTTTCAATTCTTTAGTTTTTTAAGTCTGAAAATAATACCCAATTGTTGTAAAAATTCAAGCAGTGCAGAGATTTCTTTCTTTCTTTTGTTTTGTTTTTTTTTTTTGAGATGGAGTCTTGCTCTGTCGCCCAGGCCAGAGTGCAGTGGCGCAATCTCGGTTCACTGCAAGCTCCGCCTCCTGGGTTCACATCATTCTCCTGCCTCAGCCTCCTGAGTAGCTGGGACTACAGGCGCCCGCCACCACGCCCGGCTAATTTTTTGTATTTTTTGGTAGAGACGGGGTTTCACCATGTGAACCAGGATGGTCTCGATCTCCTGACCTTGTGATCTGCCCGCCTCGGCTGGCCAAAGTGCTGGGATTACAGCTGTGCCCGGCCCAGTGCAGAGATTTCTAAAGTGAAAAGTGAATTTCTACCTTCCTTGCCCACCAACCCCCACCCGACCCCTTTCAACCCCTCTGAGCCTGGGAGGGTCGAGGCAGGGTTCCTGGGTGTGGAGCAAGGCAGGGCTCCTTCTCCCTCACAGGGAGCATAGTTTCCTTTTGCTCCTGTGATGCAGAACAGATAAGCCCCCAAACAGGGGCTTAGCCTGGGAGGGTTCTTGGCTTCACCCGGGAAAGAATTCAAGAGGGAGCAGGTGGTGTTAGACCGCAACTTTGATTGACATAGCAGTGGTCAGAGTGTGCAGCCCTGTGACTGTGTACAGCGCAGCGTAGCCCTTTTGAAGCAGGGCTACCCCATAGACACTGTGCTCAAAAGAGCAGCTCAAAGGCAGGGCTGCAGTCCTAGTTATACCCACTTTTAATTATATGCAAATTAAGGGACCAGACTATGCAGAAATTTCTAGAAAAAGAGCAGTAATTTCTGGGTTTTCATCATGGAAAAAGGGCGGTAACTTTTGAGTGTTGCCATGGCAATGGTAAACTGACATGGCACACTGGTGGGTCTGTCTTAGGGAAGGGGGCTTCCCACCCCTCCCTGTTTTAGCTAGTCCTCTGGTCCGATGTCCAAGCGGGGCCTCCAGAGTGGAGTCCACCTCCTACCTCACGGGTGCCTGGCCTCTCCCACATCATTAGTAGTCCTCCATCAGTTCTGCTTTGGGGAAAGCAAGCTCTGTTGTGACAGTTTGGAAACGGTTCACCTTCCTGGCCTAGGAATGCAAACAATGGCCAAGGGCAAACACATTTTAACTGAACTTTAAAATCGTGCTTTACTCACAGTAGGTGAATTTCACGCTCAACACATCCATGTAAACAGTCCCCAGAGCAGCCCCTCAAGGCCCCGACCAGTCGCCCCCTCTCCACAGACTCCTAACACTGTGAATTAATGTGGCTTGCACGTTTTTAAAGCCTTTTGATATTTATTAGCAAAAGATGCGGAAGCCACCCTGCCGGGCTAGCGCTCCCTTCTGGGGAAAACTGACGCAGGGCGCACAAGGCCCTCTGCACTGCGCCCGGTTAGCAGGTGGCGGCGTCAGGGGTCGACCCGGGTCCGAAAACTCGCTGGCCCTGCGGCACTAGGGCGCCGGGCCCGGACTCGCCGACCCCGATCCTGCCCCCGCCCCTACCGGTCGCCTTAGCACAGCTCCCCACCTACCAGCTTCGGCCTGGAGCACGACGGCGCGCCTGGCAGCGGCTGCGGCCCCAGCGGACACGTGATGGCTTCAGACGGCGCCGCGCCCCGCGCTGGCCTCGCCTGGTCCCCCTGCAGCCGCCGGCAGCTGCTGAGCCTGCTCAGGTAGCTCACGCCCCGCGGGAGGGGTGCGAGCCTCCAGCCAGCCCGCTGGGCCTCCTGTGCCACCCCTCCCTACGTCCGTCCCCACTCTGCATTCAGCCCTCCTTCCTGTCCCCGCCCGAGACCCACCCCTCCGTCCAAACCCGGCGCCCACGGCTCCTCCCCCCCCGCTGCCCCCCCCCCCCCCCGTCCCACCCACCTGCCCAACCCCCTGCACCTCCCCCTGCGCTGTCCCAACTTCTGCGGCCACCCTTCCGTCCACATTCTCTCCCACTTCCCTACACCCACCCCTGCATCCTACCCTCCTCCATCCACCCCTCCATCTCAGCCCCCTGCGCCCACCCCATTCCTGCACCCACCCGGTTCCTGCGCCCACCCCCTCAATTCACCCCCGTACCCTTCGTCTGCCTCCACCTGCGCCGACCCCTCTGTCCACTCTCCACGCTCCATCAGCCCCACACCCGTATCTCCCCCGCCCGCGTACATGTACCCCTGCGTCCCCTTCTCACCCACGGTACCGCTCCCGGGCCTAACGTGCATCTGCTCCATCCCACTCCGACCTGTGCCTCCGTTGTCTCTCTCTCTGCTGGCCACTCACCTCCGCGCGGACCGGAGCCTTAGTCTTGGTCCCAGCCCAGAGCCGGCTCCTGGTGGGGGGCTCGGGCCGGCAACTCCTGTTCCCACTCACAAAAGGCCACGCTTCCAAACGCTTCCATCCCCGTGCACACTCCTCCGTCCCGCCTCCTCTCGGTGTACACCCTGGGCCTGAGCCGGGCCTTGTCGCAGCGCAGGACGGGCGCACTGCGTGTGGGACCCCCCGCGGCCTCAGCCTGGGTCCACGGGGCGCCCGCCGGAGGCGCAGCCTGGCCTCTACTACAGCGCCAATGAGCAGTGCCGCGTGGCCTTCGGCCCCAAGGCAGTCGCCTGCACCTTCGCCAGGGAGCACCTGGTGAGTCTGCCGGCAGTGGCCTGGGATTGGCCATGAGGTTCCTCGGCATCACCCAACTCATCAACTCAGTCCCCCCAACGTGCACCGTGAGCACCTGCTGGGTGCGGTGCTAGGCTGAGGTACCCCCAGGGCAGCTTAGCTTAATGCTGTCTGTGGCCTCTAGAAATTATTTAAAATGTTTGAACAAAAGCCCCAACATTTTTGTTTAACTGGGCCCCACAAATTATGTAGCTAGTCCTGGGAGGGCCCCTGTGCCCAAGGACTCCTGGCTGAGTAAGGACACCAAGCTTAAACAGTTACCAAGGACTTCCCATCTGTTGTGGCTGGAGTCAGCCTGGAGGGCTGCCTGGAGGAAGTGGCCTCCAAACTGAACCCACAGCAGAAGTGGGACTGGTAGAGGGAGGGGAGATGAAGGAGAGCAGGCACCCCAAAAGACAGACTTCCTCCCAGGGTTGCATAGGACATTCATGGACTCCAGCCACTTTTGCTTTGGTGGGCCCCTTCCTCCATAAAAAAAAATTGAGACTTATATTTTAATACTCTTTTTTTTTTTTTTTTTTTTTTGAGACAGAGTCTCTTTCTGTTGCCCAGGCTGGAGTGCAGTGGCGCGATCTGAGCTCACTGCAAGCTCTGCCTCCCAGGTTCACGCCATTCTCCTGCCTCAGCCTCCCGAGAAGCTGGGACTACAGGCGCCCGTGGTGGGCTATTTTTTTGTATTTTTAGTAGAGACGGAGTTTCACTGTGTTAGCCAGGATGGTTTCGATCTCCTGACCTGTTGATCCGCCTGCCTGGGCATCCCAAAGTGCTGGGATTACAGGCATGAGCCACCACGCCTGGCCGAGTCTTTTTTTTTCTTCTTCTTCTTTGAGACAGGGCCTCCTTCTGTTGCCCAGGGTGGAGTGCAGTAGCACAATTATAACTCACTGTAGCCTCAACCTCCTGGGTGCAAGCGATCCTCCCACCTCAGCCTTGGAGTAGCTAGGACTACAAGCACATGCCCCAACGCCCAGCTAATTTTTAAATTTTTTGTAGAGATGGGGTCTCCCTTTGTTACCCAGGCTGGTCTAGGACTCCTGGCCTCAAGCCATCCTCCCACCTGGGCATCCCAAAGCCCTGGGATTACAGGCATGAGCCACCACCCATGCCTGACCAGCAAATCTATTAATATTATATATTACAACATTAATTTGGACCTGGAAGTTCATTTTTTCTTTTTCTTTTCTTTTTTTTCTTTTACCTTTTTTTTTTTTTGAGATGGAGTCTCACTCTGTCACCTAGGCTGGAGTGCAGTGGCACAATCTTGGCTTACTGCAATCTCTGCCTCCCAGGTTCAAGCGATTCCTGGGCCTATGCCTCCCAAGTAGCTGGGACTACAGGCATGTGCCACCATGCCCAGATAAGTTTTGTATTTTTTAGTGGAGACAGGGTTTCATCATGTTGGCCAGGCTGGTCTCAAATTCCTGACCTCAGGTGATCCGCCCGCCTTGGCCTCCCAAAGTGCTGGGATTACCAGCTTGAGCTACCACACCCAGTCTAATTCATTTTTTTCTTCTGATTTTATTTTATTTATTTATTTATTTTGAGACGGAGTCTCGCTCTGTCACCCAGGCTGGAGTGCAGTGGTGCGATCTCAGCTCACTGCAAGCTCTGCCTTCTGGGTTAATGCCATTCTTCTGCTTCAGCCTCCTTAGTGGCTGGGACTATAGGCACCTGCCACCACGCCCGGTTAATTTTTTGTATTTTTAGTACAAACGGGGTTTCACTGTGTTAGCCAGGATGGTCTCGATCTCCTGACCTCGTGTTCCGCCTGCCTTGGCCTCCCAAAGTCCTGGGATTACAGGCATAAGCCACCGTGCCCGGCCTTTTTTCTTATGATTTTAAAAGAAATTAGGCCAGATATGGTGGCTCACACCTGTAATCCCAGCACGTTGGGAGGCCAAGGCAGGTGGATCACCTGAGGTTGGGAGTTCAAGACCAACCTCACCAACATGGAGAAACGCCATCTGTACTAAAAATATAAAAAATTAGCTGGGCGTGGTGGTGCGTGTTTGTAATCCCAGCTACTCGGGAGGCTGAGGTAGGAGAATTGCTTGAACCCAGGAGGCAGAGTTTGCTGTGAGCTGAGATCGCACCATTGTACTTCAGCCTGGGCAACAAGAGCGAAATCATCTCAGAAAAAAAAAAAGTTAAAAAAAAAAAGAAAGAAATTAAAACATTTCCCTGGTGAACTTCAAGTCAGTGACAAGAAAGAAAAAAAGAAAAAAGACACAAAAACCACATTTCCGTGGGCCCCAAAAAGTGTGGCAGGACCTGGTCATGGTCCTGGTTCCCCATCGATGGGTCGGTCATGCCTTGTCTTTTGAGGGCACCAGTGCCTGCAGCGCAGAATGTTGGCTGTGTCAGTGTGTCTTGCGGTCTGGGAGGGACAGTTAAGGTTGGACACTGGCCTGGAAGGCCCTGGTGGCGCCTGAGTTTGCCACCTGTCCATCCTCCTAGGATATGTGCCAGGCCCTCTCCTGCCACACAGACCCGCTGGACCAAAGCAGCTGCAGCCGCCTCCTCGTTCCTCTCCTGGACGGGACAGAATGTGGTGTGGAGAAGGTCAGAGCCAAGAGTGAACGAGCAGGCTCCTGTGAGCACGTGCACGTGGGCACCTCCAGCCAGGCCGCCCTATTCCTAGGTCGGGAGGCAGGACCAGTATGGGGCAGAGAGCCTTGGAGTTGGCCTTGGTGACTGTCCTTTGGGTTGGTGGTCTGAACTCTTTCCTTTAGCATTTGCTTCCATGCAGAATGGGAGTGTGGGCTGCCTGTTTGTATGAGGGGTGCCCGTGGGTGTGGGGTTCCTTTGAGTGGGGTCCCTGTGTGAAGGTCCTCATGGATATGGGGTGTCTCGGGGTGGGATCCCTGTGTAAGGGGATCCCTGTGAGGGTAGAGCCCCTGTGGGTGTGTCCTTGTGTATATGTTGGGGGATCCCTGTGTGTTGAGGGGTCCCTGGGGGGTTCTATGTGTATGTTGGGGGGTCTCTGGGTATTGGGGGATCCCTGTGGGTCTGGGGGATCCATGTTGCTGGGCTACCTGTGTGTGTTGGGGGGGTCCCTGTGCATTGAGGGATCCGTATGGGTGAGTTCCTTGTGTGTGTTTGGGGGTCACTGTGGGTAGGGTCCATGTGTGTGCTGAGAGACCCCTGAGTATGTTGGGGGCCTCTCTGTGTGTGTTGGGTGTCGCTGTGGTGGGGTCGCCGTGGGATGGGAGATTAAGCCGTCCTTGCCTTGCAGTGGTGTTCCAAGGGTCGCTGCCGCTCCCTGGTGGAGCTGACCCCCATAGCAGCGGTACATGGGCACTGGTCTAGCTGGGGTCCCCAAAGTCCTTGCTCCCGCTCCTGCGGAGGAGGTGTGGTCACCAGGAGGCGGCAGTGCAACAACCCCAGGTACCGCAGGGAGGGGTGCTCTTCTGTCAGGGAGGGTGGCCACACCACATTCCCTAGTTGAAGGCAGTGGTCACCCTCCTGTCTCACCCTCCTGTCTCCTGGGCATTTTCAGACCTGCCTTTGGGGGGCGTGCGTGTGTTGGTGCTGACCTCCAGGCCGAGATGTGCAACACTCAGGTAGGCCTGCTTCCTGGGGCAGGAGGGGGCAGCTGGTGGCACCGGGCCCTGGGGGAGCCAAAGTGACCATCTGTGGTTCACACCAGGACACATTTGAGAAGGACTTTGGGGCCAGGTGAGGTGGCTTACGCCTATAATCTCAGCACTTTGGGAGGCCAGAGTGGGTGGATCACCTGAGGTCAGGAGTTCAAGACCAGCCTGGCCAACATGGTGAAATCCTATCTCTACAAAAAATATAAAAATTAGTCGGGTATGGTGGCGGACACCCGTAGTTCCAGCTACTCAGGAAGCTGAGGCATGAGAATCACTTGAACCTGGAAAGTGGAGGCTGCAATGAGCCGAGATTGGGCCACTGCACTCTAGCCTGGGTGACAGAATGAGACTCTGTCAAAAACAATATATAAAAATAAAAAAAGAGAGAGAAGGACATTGGGACCCCCGTTCGTAAACCAGGCCAGTCCTGCTGATGCCCACAGAGCCCCTGAGGTATCCCGCATCCCTCCCTGAGTGCCATTTTGCCCTGCAGAGCACATCTCTGCAGGGAGAACCTCCCCACTAGGAGTACAGTGCCCTGCTGCATGGCTGCAAAGGAGTTGTTTTTTTTTTTTTTTTGAGACAGAGTCTCACCCTGTCGCCCAGGCTGGAGTGCAGTGGTACTATCTCAGCTCACTGCAACCTCCGCCTCCCAGGTTCAAGTGATTCTCCTGCCTTAGCTTCCCAAGTAGCTAGGACTACAGTTGCCAGCCACCACGCCCAGCCAGTTTTTTATATTTTTAGTAGAGACGGGGTTTCACCGTGTTAGCCAGGATGGCCTTGATCTCCTGACCTCGTGATCTGCCTTCCTCAGCCTCCCAAAGTGCTGGGATTACAGGTGTGAAAGTTTCAGAATGTTTCCAGTACTCTGGAGTACTCTGGAGTAAACCCCATGTGGTAGGCTGTCACTCCCCATTTCTCCTCCGCCACCCGGTGGCCATTGATCTCCCTTCTGTCTTTGTGGATTGACCTGTTCCAGACATGCCATGTACCTGGGGCCAGACAACAGGTGTGCTTCCTGCCTGCCTTCCTCCCCCAGTGGCACGTCCTCAGGGCTCACCTGTGTTGTAGCCTGTGTCAGCGCCTCATTCCTCTTTCTGGCTGAATCATATTCCACTGCCGGGATAGACCACATTTTCATCCAGTCATCTGCTGATGGACATTGGAGGTGTTTCCACCTTTTGGCTCCTGTGAACAGAGCCGCTACGAATGTGCTTGTACATGTTTGAATCCCTGTTTTCAATTCTTTTGGCAGTATGCTGAAGAGTGGAGTTACTGGATCATATGGGAATTCTACGTTTGACTTTTTTTTTTGAGACAGAGTCTTGCTGTGTTGCCAGGCTGGAGTGCAGTGGTGCAATCTTGGCTCACTGCAACCTTCGCCTCTCGGGTTCAAGCGATTCCCCTGCCTCAGCCTCTGGAGTAGCTGGGATTACAGGCACGTGCCACCACGCCTGGCTAATTTTTTGTATTTTTAGTAGAGATGGCCTGCCTCAGCCTCTGGAGTAGCTGGGATTACAGGCACGTGCCACCACGCCTGGCTAATTTTTTGTATTTTTAGTAGAGATGGGGTTTCCACCACGTTGGCCAGGATGGTCTGGATCTCCCGACCTCAGGTGATCCGCCCGCCTCGGCCTCCCAAAGTGCTGGGATTATAGGCATGAGCCGTATATGTTTATGTTTGACTTTTAAAGAAACTGCCAGACCATTTTCCACAGTACCTGAACCGTTTCACATTCCTACCAGCATTGCATGAGGGTTCCAGACCTCAGGTGATCCCGCCCGTCGGCTCAAAAGTGCTAGGGGATTATAGGCAAGCCATATATGTTTATGTTTGACTTTTAAGAAACTGCAGACATTTATCCACAGTACCTTGAACGTTTCACATCCTACCAGGCATTGCATGAGGGTTCCAGTTTCCCCACATCCGCTGCAGTCCTTGCTGGCTTTCTGTGTTTTTTTCTTTTCCTTCCTTCCTCCTTCTCCCTTCCTCTCCTCCTCTCTCCTCCTCTGCCTCCCTTTCCTCCCTTTCCTTCCTTTTTCTTTTTTATTAGAGATGCGGAGTTTCGCCAATGTTTGGCAGGGCTGGTTCTTGGAACCCCTAACCCAGGTGATCTGCCCCCTTCAGCCTCCAAGTTAGCTGGATTACAAGTTGTGAAGGCCATGGTGCCCCGGGGCCTGTTTTTTGTTTTTTTTTTATTTTTTTTTGAGCGGGGGTTCTCGGCTTGTAGGCCAGGCTGGAGTGCAGTGGGGATCCTTCAGCCATGCAAGCTTCCGGCATTCCCGGAGTTCGAGCATTCTCCTTGCCTCAGCCTCCAGTAACTGGGGACTACAGGCGCCCGCGCATCTCGGGGCCGGCTAGTTTTTGGTATTTTTTAGTTAGAGACGGGGGGTTGTACCGTGTTTGCCAGGATGGTCTCGAGATACATCTTTCTGACCTCGTGAATCACCGTCTCGGGGGCCTTCCAAGGTGCTTGGGATTACAGGCTTGAAGCCACCGGCCGGGCCTGTATTTCTGTTTTTGATTTGGGCCCATCCCGCGGTGTTGAAATGGGTAGAAAAGATTTTTTTTTTTTTTTTTTTTGAACGGGAGTTCGGCTCTGCCACGCCAGGTTGGAGTGGCAGTGGCCGGAATGCTCAGCTCATGACAAGCCTCCGCCTCCGGTTAACCCCATTTCTCCTGCTCAGCCTTATCGAGTAGCTTGGGTCACAGGGCGTCCCGGCACCTCGCCTGCTAGTTTTTGTATTTTTTAGTAGAGTTGGCGTTTTTCACTGTGTTTGTAGGCAGATGGTTCTCGATCTGCTTTACCCGTGATACCGCCGCGTCTCGGGGCCTCCCAAGTGCTGAGGAATTTATCAGGGGCTTGGAGCCATGCAACCG